CACAATATATAATGGTTGGATAATCAGCAGTAAAATTTTAATTCTTTAAGAAAACGACGTAAATAACTGCTTCTTTGGCACTTTCTGAAAGACTGATGTACTCTGCTTCAGTACTTGATAATGAAACAGTTTTTTTGCTTTCGCGATTCCCATGTTATCGGATTTCCAGCTAGCTTGAATAGGTAACCTGTATACGATTTCTAGTATTAACATCAGACGCCCAGTCGGCATCGGTATATCCTATAAGTGCTTTTCCAGTCTTTCGAAATTTAAACAATAATTTTTTAGTTCCTTAAGTATCGAAGAACGCGCTTTGCAGCCAACCAGTGTAATTTTCCAGGATTGTTTATTAATTGGCTCAGGTGACTGACGGCATATGCAATATCCGGCCTAGTAAACACGAAAGAACATAAGCGAACCAATTAGACGGCGATAAGGTGCGTTGTTTCATTTCTTCCTTTCAGTTTCAGAAGGACACATTTCTTACTTAATTTTACACTAGGATCTAAGGAGTTGCTACTGGTTTTGCATCTTGCATATTAAACCTTCGTAGAATATTATCAACATATTTCTGCTGAGATAAACTAATAGAATTATTATTACATCTTGATTAAATTCTATTCCAAGACAATAATGAAGTTTGCCTAAATCTTTAACATAAATTCTTTAGAAGTAACCTTTAGTTCAGCTATAAATCACAGCTAGTTGTTGCTATTATTAAGTAATCAACATATAAATTAGAATTAACTCACCTTGAGATGTTTTCATCCTGTATACACACTTATCTGATCGTAATGTTGTAATCCAAAGTTTTTGAGTTTTTTTGTCTATTTTTCATACCACTGTCTTCCACTTTGTTTCAAACCATAAAAGACTTTTGCAAAGCATAAACATAAGGATTATTTTGGTCTTCAAACCTTTTTGCTTGTTCCATGAAAATTTCTTCTTTTAAATCTCCATTAACATAAGCCATAACAAAATCTAGTTGGTATAACATAAGGTGTGTTCAGCACTGTATGCAATCACAGTTCTTATAGAACTTGCTCTGGCTACCGGAGCAAAGGTTCATTAAAATCAATTCCAGGTTCCTGTGCAAATCCTCTAGCAACCAATCGAGCTTTCTCTTTTGAACTGTTCCATCTGCATTATATTTCGTTCTAAAACCCAGCGACATCCTATACCTTTTTGGTGTGGTCGCTTAATTTCCATCACCATTTTTAACAAGTGCTTCATACTCACTTTGCATAGCCTTATGCCATTCTTCAGCATAACTTCCATTTAATGCTTCTTCTAATGTCGATTGTATCTTCTTCAGCAATTTGTGCTTCTTCCTCTTCTATGTTTATATTGTGGGTACTCCTTTTTTGGTCTTCCTGGCTTCCTTCAGCAGGTTTTAGCACTTTTACCGGTTACATAATCCCATGGTCGTTTTTAATCAATACTGCTTCTATTTGTAATTTCCAACTGTCAAAATATCTTTTCCGAGCTTATCTATAGTAGTCAAATGCGACATATGTAATACAGTCTCTCACAGCCAAATAAAAACAAGATTGATCGCTATAAAAATAGGCTTAACTGAACGCTGATCAGTTCTTACCGTTGATTAGACGTAACAGTTCTTGCACTGAATTAGGCTTAAGAGTTCAATGCTCGAAAACTTCAAAATGTTCATTTTAAAATAGGTATTTTGTTAATTAAGCACAGTTGAAACGTTCCTGGGCCCATAACCATTGAAGAAATAAATAAGCCTAAATAGATTGTAATATCAATGAACATTTTTAATGACAGAGATTATCTTAAATAGTTGCGTACAGCAGAGAAAAAAGGCGAAGAAGTAAGAATGGTATACATATACATACATACGTAATAAACAGTTACGTCATCATTCATCACCGCGCGGATAAACGCGAACGGCGCATGCGTCAGGAGAAGCTCTCTTAAGCTAAACGTCGTATTATAATTTATGATACAACAACCTCTCCTTGTAAAATCTACCTTAATATACCTGGACGATATCAATGTGTCTAGCGAAAATATTGAGCAACACGTAAAAGATCTAAATGAAGTTTTTACAATATTAAGAAACGCAGTCTTAAAAGTAAATGATAGTAAGTGTGAATTCGCGGCAGAAGAGCTTAACGCACCTGGGCTATGAAATTTCTAAACAGGGAATACAAACGGAAGACTAAAAAATTATTGCTATAAAGAATTACCCGGCGCTAAATACAGCGAAAAATCTCGCCTTATACTTAGCCACGTATTCTTACTATAGAACTTTTATAAAAGATTTTCCGCAGATAGTAGAACTGCTGTTACAATTGAAGCGAAATAAAGCCAGGTATTGGTGGAGAGCTGAGGCTAACACCGCGGTTGATAAACTGAAAATTGTGCTAATTCAAGCACCTGTTTTAAAATTCCCGGAGAGAGACGAAAATCTCGAAATTTTGGCAGACGCAACGGATTATGCTGTAGGCGCTGTTTTGATGCAGAAATTCAGCCTATTTTCCAAAACATTTAATGAAACACAACGAAACTACACTGGCATGGAGAGAGTACTTTTAGCAATACAAAAGTTTAGTGTCTATTTCGATAAGGCACTGATAATCCTGTACTCAGATCACGCTGCGGTGGGGCGATTATACTCCGAAAAAAATGTATCGCCACGATTGATCAGTAAGCATTCAAATTGCAAGAATTCAATTTAATAACCAAACACACGCTAGTAAGGAAAACATCATAGACGATGCTTTATCCCGAACAAAACTAGATGAAGAAAGAAAAGAAATACAATTTTCCACGTTGACTTCAAAAATATTAGTTTCCCCTGACACTATTATTTCTGAATTACAAACTGATCCAGAGTATAGACATATTTATGCAAACTTGCAAGACTCGGAACATTTCGAACATCCGGATATAGTAACCATCAGAAATAGAGCAGAATACGCAATAATTGACAAATCTTATTTTATACTATAACAATAAATGAGAATAGTGAGTAAGGCCAGTTATTTCAGCCAGTTTACGACTTAGCATATTGCAAAAATTACACGATGCATCTACTGCCGGTCATCTTAGCATTCGAAAAACGTGCAAAGAGTGAGAATACAAATGAAGCAACAACAACTAAAATAGCAAATGAGAATAGTGAAGTAAGGCCAGTCATTTCAGTCAGTTTGCGACTTAGCATATTGCAAGAATTACATGATGCACCTACTGCCGGTCATCTTGGCATTCGAAAAACGTTGCAAAGAATGCGCGAGGAGGGTTTTTTTTCCTGCAACTTCTAAAAGTGGTAACGGTAGCGGAATATGCCAGGACCTGCAATACGTGCCAATTAGTTAACGATGTAAATTACAGCCCAGCCGGATATCTAACTAGTATAAGAGCTACTTTTCCAAATGAAATAATTGGGATACATTTATTAGGCCCTTACCGAAAAAGATGAAAGTAATAAAAATAGATATTTTCTAGTTATTGTCGATCATTTCTTGAAATGGGTAGAAATAGTTTCCCATAAAAGAACGTATTGTATCCGATGGATTCGCACGCATAAATGCATGCATAAATGCATGCATTCAGAAACGCATACATGGTGCACCACTTACAGTAATATCAGATAACCACCCCTAATTTATTAGCCAAATTTTGGAAGAGTTGTGTGCAGGGCTTGGCATCCACCACTTAAAGTTGGTCCGCTACAGACCGCAATCAAATATTGCCGAGCGCATAAATAGGAACATTGTAATAATCATCCGTGTAAAAACGTATCACCGACGCCAGAATGACTGCGTCAATGAGTTGGTTTTTGATCCTGAAAACGGCCAAGCACGATATCACGGGAAAAACTATTTCTGAATTATTTTTGGGGAGAAATATAGTTACTCCCTTAGACAAACTGTTCTTTATCAGAAAAGAGAGGCAGAATTTAAAATAAATGATATTCAAAAATAATAGAACAGGCACTAAGGAACTGAGACATAGCTAGAGCAAAACAAAAACTGTATTATGACAGGAAAAGAAGAGATTTTGATCTTAAGGCCGGGGATAAAGTTCTGATGATGAAGATAACGAAAGTTCCAATTTATTTATTCAAAAAAACTTACTCTTACTATTAACTATAATATATACTCTTACTTCTAAAAATTTAATTTAGATTTATCTTTGGGTAATTATAATTTCAATTTCAAAATATGAACTTGTAATGAATTATGCTAAAGCATTTCCTTTTAATTTGCAGCAGCAGTATGTGAATATACAATTCATTTAGCAGTCAAAATGCAATACGCTTTGAACAAAAAGATTTAGACTATGAAGCAAGTAGTAAGAAGTAGTGGGATTTAAATGAAAGCACCAATTGATAATTCCAAAATTATCAGTTGGTGATTAATCACACTGATAATTCCAAAATTAATCAGTGTGAAGAACTTGGAGCTGCTTACTCCCCTGTCAGTACTTCTCATATAGAATTTCCCATTAAGGTTTGAGGTTGAAGATATATGTCTATCTTGGTATTCCACAATATTTTGTTATATTAAGTGAATTTAACAATTCTAAAATTTTAATGCTAAAATTGCACTTGAATCGGTTTTCGGAAGCATAATGGATTTTTATGTTAGAAAATATTTTATGTAATCTACTTCTGAAAATAAAAGAAACCATTATAAGTGAAGTTTATAAAACCAGAAATATTTTAAGTTATCTACTTCTAAAAATAAAAGAAACCATTATAAGTAAAGTTTATAAAACCATAAAGCTAAAATCGCAATTTTAAGCTTTAAGCTATGTTAGAAATTTTTCTGAAATACATATGTTGATAAAAAGCCCATTCTATGGCGCTCGTAACTTGCTACTAGTTATTTTCATATCAGTAATAAAATTAAAGTTATATACCCATACGACTGCATTGACATTATAGAACCTAATAAAATCCCACGTTAATTTTAAAATTTGTTTATTAGAATATCTTTCAAAGTAATCAGATACTCTTATTAACTCACCATCCATGCATCCTTCTGGTCCAAGGACAGTTCCTGCCGGACAGACGTCACACTTCATTCCCTTGATGCCTTGCTTGCAGACACATCGCCCAGTCATCTGTTCGCAGTCATCTCGAACAGACCCATACTGATTGCAGTTGCATGCTAGAAGGAAACAAAAACTATGCATTACGGGCAAACCAACAACAAATCGAAATTGATAAAAATATATATATTTTGAATGGCATTTGTAAATAATTTTATAATGATAAAACACTACAAAATGTCAAACCAACAACGAAAAAAAAGTATAATTAATTACGAAATTCGTAAAATGCTGCTTGTTTTCGATTATTTAAGCATGTGGCTTTAATTCTAAGGAAACTGCATAGGATCGAAATAGATCCTAACGTCGCAGAGTCGTAATCGTCATACCAGCGATACTATTTGTCAACTTTCAATTCGCATGATAAAAAAATGGATAATGATGTAATAATAAGATAGGTAATAATGTGCATTTTTAGGCACAGGCACAACTAAAAATAAAGGAAACACAAGGCCATCTTGATTAAATCACCATATAATGATCCCACTTTACTAATCTTCTTAACCTTCTGATTGATTGGGTGGCTTTAATTTGGTAGTATAATATACACTGGTGTGCAAAAATAAGGGCGAGTCGGTTTTTTCAATATAACTTTGTACAAAAGCTTTCCAAATCAACACATTTAATACCGTAAGATCCCCAATACGTAAGGACATGAGTAATGTAAGCAACACTTACTAAAAGAGAAATCAGAGGGATAAAAAAGAAGCTTTATTGAAAAAGTAGCATGGAGCGCAATGCGACTGAAGGCCGAAACATCCCTGTGATGGGTGTCCAGCAAGAAACATCCGGTCTTTAATAGGGGATATGATCTCCCCTGACTGCTAGGCAGGTTTCACAGCGTCTGCCCACGCTGAGAATGAGGGTGTCAATGCGTTGTTGAGCCATTGCTGCCCATTCGTCTTGCAGCGCCAATCGAAGCTCCAGAATCGTTACTGGTGGTAATATACGAGGCTGCCAAGCGTCTGCTTAGAAAATCCCATACATGCTCGATGGGATTGAGATCCGGAGATCGTGCCGGCCAATCCATACGTTCAATATCCTCACTCTCTAAGAGCTGTTCGGTAGCTACTGTGCGATGACATGGTGCATTGTCGTCCATGAAAAGGAACTGCGGACCCATAGCGCCTCTAAAAAGACGCACATATGGAAGAAGAATCTCGTTACAATAACGGGTCCCGTTGACTGAAACTGCGTCGAACATGTGAAGGTCTGTACGACTACCAAGCATGATGCCTCCTCAAACGAGAACACCGCCACCTCCATAACTGTCCCTTTCAATGATGTTCGAGGGATGATTGCGGCTTCCCCGCTCTCTCCAGATTCATTGTCTCTCCAATTCCCGGCACCACAGAGAACGCCTTCTCCGATAGGCAGGCGTTAGAGGTACACACCGTACAGGGCGTCGTGCAAACAGATCACCACCGTGCAGTCTTCTGGCCACGGTAAAACGCGATATCGGTCGTCCAGTCGCCTGTGTCGTGTGTCTAGCGATTTCTCCCGCTGTCTGCCACCTGTTTCTTCTGGCCTGTAAGGCAATATACCGGTCATCTGCCGGTGTGGTTCCTCGTGGACGACCACTACTAAACCCTCGATAGCTGTTCTTCCTGTAGTTTGAAGTGTCTCCAAGTCGTGAAACGATGCTGTGAGCAATTCCGAACTCTGCAGCCACACTTGTCACACTGCGGCCTTCCTCCCAACTTCCCAATGATTTCGACCTCGGTAAAAGCATCCAGATGTCGTCTAACAAATTGATTATTCGCCATTTCTCGCTGAGGCAGCAACTCGGTGGGATTTTAACTGCTATATACGGCGTGCATCTCTTTGCCATAAATACTGATCTTACACCGACAACATGCTTTATACTACTCAGACACTCCCCCATTACGTCTACCTGCATATCTGCGCATGTGCTACCGTACATCACCGTACTTAATCTCCTGATTGGTCTTTCTGTCCGCGCTGCCTCTTCGTTCAGCTGATATGCTTTTTCGACTTCGTCCTTAATTTTTGCACACCAGTGTATACACGAACTTGTTTGAAGCATTTATTTGTAAATAAATCCTTTTTTTAATTATGGAATCATAGAGAGACATAATCACAAAAAAGATGTTTAAAAATAATTCAAGAATATATGACAGAGGATACTAAAGACGAAGCATACACAATTTGATTTCATAAATCAGAAGAAAATAATCGTTTCATCATCATTTATAACAAATATTAATATGATTCCCATTTTGGAATAAAGCGTTTGTAAGCACGCGTGGAAAAGTATGTTAAATAATTAATAAGCCGTAGCAAAAGTAAACAGTGCACGACGTAAAGAGAAACAATAAGAATAAATTTATTTAATTTATGAATTTACTTGCCGATTGAAAGATAGAACAAAGTTATTTATCAGCTTTCAATTCTAAAATTCTTTCAAATGTTAGAATTAAAATTTGAGTTAAATAAGTGACCAAAATATGTTGAAACCACTTTCAGAATTTTACGGAACAAAGAGAATTTCTGTTTTTTCGGTATCTCAAATCATGACTAAGTATTTTTGGAAGATAATTCATATGTCAACACATGCTCGAAGAAACGAAGTTTATAATCTGCAAGCAGTGAAACTTATGATAGTTACTCTTCGTGTGCAAACAACTGGCGTTGACACTATGCATCCATCTCGATAAAACGAAAAATCAATTTTCGGGGTCAGATAAATTGTTTTAGTTTCATAAATCATAATGTCTTCTCCAGATATCATGCATTATATAATCGTAACACTGTTTCCGACGCATAACAAGATCTGTCTTTAATCTTTTATGAACATCTTAAATGAAGTCGAAAACTTTATACGCGAGCTAATTGTGATTCAGTCTAATGTTATCTATCAGTTTTTAATTTCTACTGCTTCAAATGTGATATCTAAGGAATATAAAAATAAATTATTAAATTTACATACTTAATTGAACTACTTTTATAATAATACATTTTACTAACTTCTGTAAACATTTTTGGCTACACAGCTGACAATTTCAAGCAAAAGAAATTTATAATGTTGCTTTTAATTTTGATATTAAACTGAAGAACAAGCAAAACCTTAAAATGAAATAAAGCTTAAGAAACTGGTAATCTTAGGAAACTTCTTAATATACTGGTAATAAGTACATTGTATATATCTTTATTGCAATGCTATTGTTTGGAGACTGTTTAGCAATATTATTGTATTATTATATTAAATTTTTGAGGGATAAAAAAGATTTAAATTAATGTAAAGTGCGTTTATTGTTTATAAATCATCCATTTACTCCAGCTGTTAAAACGAGTAATATTTGAATATTAAACTAAAAATCTTTTATTTTACCAAATGATAACAAAGAACTATACAGCAGCCTGCGTGCAAGATAAGCGCATTCGGAATCTTTGCTAAGGACAGTTGATATATACGTACGTGGTAGGGTAACGTAACATAACAGTCCAAATAGTTTGCAAAGGTACCTCTAAAGACGTTTCTAATTCTAGTATTATTAGAAAATTTAAAACCTCGTAAAAGTTTTAAAATAAATGTTTGTACCACTTCTATAATATATGGCATCAAAATACTTGTTTCAATTACAACAAATACAGAAAATATTCATAACATTAACACATGGATACATTTAGAATGCAAATACATTTGAATATACATCAGGTATATGTATAATATTAAAATATAAAGGCTTTAATTATTGATAAATGAGTTTATTGCTCTTTTATCATGTATCATTTTTTCAAATGTAAATTAAAAATCATATGTCACGCTGAATGGTAACACTCTGCGAAATTATTATATGCGATAACGTGCTGAAAGCTAGATGTTTTTGTTTCTTAGAATGGCGAGACTCATCTTTTAAGAATTATAAAAAAGATTAAAACATTTATAAAAGTTTACAGTTTAGCTGTATTAAAAATTAAATATATTGTAATTTCAAAGAGTTGCTTAGAAAGGTAAAATAAAAATTTAAATTAAAAAAAATACTTTTGTTGATTTTAAATCAGGATGTTCGTTAATCGTATACAAGCATTAAATATAGAATTAAATACATTATTTTTCCGAAAGAAAATACTTTCAGAATTTACTATGCACGAGGGCGGTTGGAAGACAAATTAAATGTCTTACGTTTCGGGCATCAGCAGCGCTTGCCAAGGGCTGCTTTTTCTTTAAACTTTCTTTATCTGATGTTTTACTACGAATTTTGTTTTATTAATAGATTTTATATGTTAAATAAAAATAACGTCCTCTTTTAAGGTATTAAAAAAAGACCTTTGTATAAAGAAGAAGTTTTTAACCTCTTTTAAAATTACAGAAAAACCTTTGATGCAGTTATCAAAGCAAGTAAATATGCATACCTGATCAACAAAATGAAGTGCAAAATTTCTAATGAAGAACTTCATGAGGGTTCGCACTGCAGGTCATGGCGTTTGTATGTAAAAATATTGCTTCATAAAACATGCCATTGCATAGAAAATTGCATAGGAATAATTACACAGGAAACCGTACCAATAAACATATTTCTAAAATGTTTTACTTTTTTTTAAAAATGGAATTAAGACATTCGATATTTTATAAAGATATAGCATTTTAGCAATCCGAAGAACCAATGAAACGGTTGCAGCACTAAGCAGTTCACATATCTAAACTACCTAAACCTACTTGTAACACAGCTATTTTGCGATAGTGGTATAGTACCGTCATTACCGTCACCAAGAGCTCGTTACCCAAGCTCATTTACCGTCACCAAGAGCATCAAGAACTCGCCAAGAACGCAGCGCTTCATATCTCTGCTTACTGATTAGAGACACGAGTAAGCAGCAAAAACTGAAAGTTACAAAAGCGAGGTTCATGTATCGGGTCAGCCACAGCATGTTACATTTTTGCCGAATTATGAATTTTCATAGCTGTGCGATACAGGAATTAAAATTCTACTAGAAACCTTCAGATGTTTAACGTTTATATTATTTGCGCATATCTTCATCGTATCTGTGTAGGAAAGTGATAGACGGAACAGTGTAGGTGATCTGAGAAAACATGTTTTAACCCTGAAATCTTCCCAGATCATTCTGCAGTAAAATAGACATTCGTGAGGAATCAATAACATGCGAAAATAATTGACAAATATAGGGGCATTCACATTTAATGATGAAATATATCATTTAATAAATCAAGATTCACGATGTGTCAAAACATGTTATAAGGTACTTTCTCCCTCCTTTCTGCATGCCTTCCTGGTGAAACGGTAGCACATTCGGCGTGTAATCGAGAGGTCCAGGTTCGAGTTCCGGCGAGGCCATTGCTCGTTTCTCATGTATCCTGCTTGAAAATAATCTAATGACTCGACAGTGGCGGTCGAACTAAAAGGTGGTGGATGATGATCTTTATTACCAGGATTTTGCGATTGGGTCCCTTAATCTCCAGTCGTCCTTTGAAAGGGGCAGTATATACGATTATTTTCTCTCCTTTCTGCATGCCTTCGTGGGTTACGGTGGCACACACGGCGCGTATATTCGAGAGATCCAGGTATTCGATCCAGGTATACGATGCGTATATTCGATCCCAGTGAGGGCACTGTACATTTTTACATCTCTTACGTCAAAAATTCTAATGACTTTACAACGTTACTCCAGTTATAAGAATTTTAAAAAAAATAATAGGATTAATATTTTTTTGGTTTTTTTCTGAATTTAAAACTTCAGAACTTCTCTTTACACTGGATCACTCTTTATAAATTCGAAATAAAAAGGCATATGGAGCATATAAAGCGTATAGGTTAAGAATGATTCACATAATTATACATCTTAGCTAATCACTGTAATTTAAACTAGTCTAGGATTTCATACTAAATTACACTGTATATATCGCAGAGCGTCTATATATTTATTTATGTATATGTCACATGTGATTAATAATGCTATTTACTTATGCTTGCTTTTGTTTGAAATTATAAGTGAGAGCAAAGTTGATGTTAAAAAACGACACATATGATTAATTACGCTCGTGATTAATTATCAAAATGCCCATTTGGCTCCCAAAAGAAAGACTGAGAGAATCAAATGGAATCATTTATCAGTCAGTAAAATGAAGGCCCAAAAGGAAATCCGCAAAACTAAAAGTATATAAATAAATAAACTACCAAAGACAGAGCAACGGAGTGCATAAAATGAAGAACGAAGCAAAAATTCTACAGTAATAGAAATAAATGAGCTAGATACAAATCTGCTCGAACATCAAAGACTAGTTTTGAATGTTTGGGTTTTTAAATAATTTGTATAATTGCATCATTCAAATAAAAATTAAAATAATTCAAAATTTCCCTTAACTCATAAACAGAGTGGAACCTTACTTTACATTCTTTGTTGTTGAACTTCAGAAAATTCTTGGTTAATTTAAGAAAATTTAGACATAGAAATCAATGATTAGGAACAATGATTAGGTTGCTTTTAGACGATTGTTCGAACTTCTGTAAGCGCAGATGCTTCAATTACAAAACATTAGGTTTGTGTATTTAGGTGAATAATAATAAACAAAACATTAGGTTTGTGTATTTAGGTGAATTTAGATGCTTCAATTACAAAACATTAGGTTTGTGTATTTAGGTGAATAATGGTATGTTTATATGTGTGTTTGTGAGGTTTGTGTATACTATTAGGTTTGTGTATGTTGAGAAGAAGCCATTTCTAATCTGGTTTGCTTTTTGATATGCTATGAACGTTTTGCCTTTATACTCAGAACAGGAGATAATTTAAGACACTATTATTAAAGAGACAGTAATTTTTCATACATCATACAGATATAAAAAAATACGTAAACTTGAACTGTCAGTCGAAGTTGTTTATAGAGAACAATTAACAAAAGGCATTTAGTGCGAAAAGAATTCGAAAGCTTCTTCTACAGAGGAATCTAATATTGGGTTATTTCATTATTTTTACGACCTAAATGAGTACTGAACGAAATGCCGTATATTTGGCATGCCTTTGTAAGCGACAGAGGAATCTGCGGAATAAGAAACATCTGAAAAAGGGTAAATAAATGACAGAGTTAAAAAAAATACTTGTTTTGGAAATGAAAGAAGTAATATTTGGCACAAGATATATATTCAACATTCAACTAAGTTTATAAAATGTATTGCATGTATATTTATAATATATATGTATGATTTTTTTAATCCGCGCTGCTCGACAACGCTGCGATGATAGAAGAAACCACTACTTTTAAACATCTGAACAGTCGTAACGGCTGAATGGAGAGGCATGAAGGTGAAGCTGACAAAACTGAATTCGAAGACTCATCATATTTATTTTTATGCACACCAAATAATATTTTTCGATGATAGTTAAATACAAAAATTTTATGTACACGGGTTAAAAGCAATACTACGATATCTTAGGTAAAGAACAAAACAGGACAATTAAGCATAGTAACACAGAGGCGCTTGCACGGCAAGAAGAAGTAATGAAAAGGTGACATAATTGCTCGCGAAGCAGTGTTTATACTAGGCAGGTGCATATATACAGCTAAGCAACGATTGGTTAATTTTAAGTTTTAGTTCTCTTTGTAAGCAGCGTTATGTAAGCGTCATATGATTTTGGAAAGATCTCGAATTCGAGAGAAAGGATAAACTTAGGGGCAGAACTTAAAATTTAGAATAGTCAATTTTCAAGTCGCCAATTACTTCTTAGAGTAGCCTTGTATTTTATTATATCTTACACACATAAACATATATTTACATATATACGCTCCTAAATTAAAAAACCCTGCTCTATGAAACAAGACTTTAATAACAGGAATCAGTTGATTACAGTTTACCTTTGAGTAGTAAACCAAAAATATTAGCACCTACAAAGGAATTTTATTACATTATGAATTCAATGAGAAGCGAACTAAAGTTTGATTCATTTTTATTCCGTAAAAATCTTTGTTACACTGATAAAATTTAATATTATTTTATGATTCTTAAGGGCTTAGTATTTTCATGATTTCATAAATTATAAACAATGGAAATAGTAAAAAAATATTTATTTATTTTTTTAAATTCTAATTATTCGGTTAAAATACTTACTTTTACTATATAAACAAAGTTGAGAAAGTACTTACAAGAGCATCCACTGTTTCCTTCAGTCGCTTTGTGCAGGCCCCAGTATCCTGGTTCGCATCTGTCACATCGCAGTCCACCGACTCCAGGCTTGCAAGAACACTGTTTTGTTTCAGCGTCACATGTTAAACCGTAAGAGCCTAGTTTATTGCAGTTGCACACGCCTATAAATAAAATGTAGGATAAAACATATAATGTATTTTACAATATTTAAAGAATAAAAATAAAGTGATTAAATAAGTGAGCAATAAATTTATCGATATGCTAATTAGGATTGGTTGTTAACTACCGCTAACCACATAAATTCTTTGCAAGTCGATTTCAAAAAGGAAATTGGTTGTTACGTATGCAAAGGCTAGAGGTGATGTAAAGAATTTTCCACCAGTAAACCCCTTTTTCCTGCCAGTACAAAATGAAATACAAAATGTTTTTCCTCTAATCTTTGGTTTATCAAGACTGAATTCAAAATTTAATGCAAAAATATAATTTTTGATTCTATGACAGTTGCAAAATATTTAGATAATTAGCACTGATTTTAGTTTCTAATAGCTGTTATTTTAGTGCTTAAACAAGATGTTGTTTAGCGCGTTATTTAAAGGAAAATATATATTTTAAATCTTTTGGAATATTACTGTCTTCAAATAAGTCACTGCTACTATTCACTGCTATTTCATTCCTTCTATTTGATTAGAATTCTGTATTTCCACTTAAAACTACTTCACCGTTTTTCCCGAGAGGAAGTCGTGGATTTGAAAATTGTCATCAGGTATTAGCAACAGACTCGTCGAGATTAAATGTGAGCTGGATCGTTACCCATGAGATACACTCCTTAACTTTTTTTAACCTCTTCTCTCCCAGGATGCTGCGAAACTGATGCGAGGTCAGGTTCTTCACAGAAGCGTTGAATCAAGATCGCCCATAGAAAAGCTCACTTACAAAGACGGTGCAATGGAACTATTTCACATTTAAAATTGTGCCTTTAGGGAATCGTCTTTGTTAATTTTCAGTCTAGGGAACACAAAATAAATTTTTCTATTGAGTAATGTGACCAGTAAGTGGTTTTGCAAATAGGTCTTGACAGATGGTGAAAAAGGTAAGAACTGAAAAACTTTACCTTTGGAGGAAGAAAAAGAAGCAGAATTTTGAATTTTGTAAGACGGTGGAGGCATTAAATGCTTTAGCAAATTCTACCGTAATAAATGTAGAAGAATCCAGATTAAAGCTATTTAAAGCATTACAAATCTCCTCACCAATTGAAACGTTTCAAAACACTGATACTGGTCTATGTTTCAGCTCTCAGCGAAGAGAATAAATTATTTTCCTAAGTATACATGTTATCAGTAAAGTATGAAAAGCCGGCTTTCTATACAATGAACAGGCATATTTTAGAATGTGTGGCGTTTTTAGGCACAATATGAAATATAAGAATCATTTATATACTTTACCTACGCAACACCTAGGCATTCTACAGAACGACAATTGCTGTTTAGGCAAAGTAGAGAAAAAAAGGGTCACGATAAGGCTATTATTTAAAAGAATCCTCAAAAACACAAATGTTATTAAAAAAAGTAATGAAAGGCTGCCATTAAAAATCTTCTATTCAAAATACGTAAAAAAAATTAAAGGTGTACAAAACAAAATGTATGCCATTCGTATTAAAAAAATAAAATACAAACCTACTTGTCACACGAAGAAGGAAAATAGTTATTTTTTTTATAAAATGTAAAACAGGGTCATTAAATGAACTTTATAAAAATACACACATTAAAAAGAAAAATTTTAAAAATTTGATATTTTTCCAAAAACTTAATTAATTATTTAAATTACTTGTTTCAACATGGTAGCCTTCAATGACATTTTAAATTATACTTCATTACTTTTTTCACGCAAAGATATTTCGTGTTTCTTGCCCTTTTTATTTTACACATACAATAGCCGCTTCCACTGGACTGAGCAAATGCAACTAACCGGAGAGGAATTTCGTGGTCAAGAATATCTTCAATTCTAAGCAAGTTCAGGCATAAAGAGAATTGTAATCTCGCACACAGTTGTTTTAAAATTCCCTTAGATGTTCTAAGACAGCAGAAACCGTTCTCTGGCACATTCATCGTAACTGTTAAAATATTGCGTGAATCACCCAGGACCTTGTGTTTCCAAAGCAGCAGACGAAATTTGTTTCCCGAATTCATTTTCATGTTTTAGCTTGTATTTCCAAATTGGTTTTGTAATTAATTTTTTCGATAGCATTTTCAGTTTTGAAACAAAGAGAAGACAGAATATCTAATTTCTCATCTTTACTAACATGCCACAGAAATTATAAATTTTTTAGACAAAGCTTTGCACTGGTTACTTTTAAACACATGCAAAAGGTACCATGAACGGAAATTCTTTTCGGTGAGCATGCCATTATCATGTTGGTTTAATTCCCATCGACTGTAATCTCATTCCTGTTTTATGAAACAAACACTTTTTCTTGCATACGCTGATTTGTTTCCTCTTTTTGCATCTTTTGCACTCTTTCTGTTATTTTTTTTCTAGCTCTTCATCAGTATTTATACCTTTTAAAACATCTTAGAGTAGAAAAGTTGTTGTAAGATCTACTCCAGATTTGCAGCCAAAAAGGGCTTCGTATGATGTTCTTTTGATTCCAGAATAAGTTATATTTCTCATAAATTCAACGAACAGCAGGCCTTCACTCCACTGGCTATATTTCTTGTCCTGCATCCATGTATTGCGCATATTTCAAATATTTTGAATAGCATTTACAACACTTTGTGAATGGTAAGGCTTCCTATGAACGATCTTCAAGCCTGGCCATAACTGCTTCAAAGTATCACCATATATTTGTCAAATTCTTGAACGGTGAGACTGCAATATGGATGGCATACCAAGCAACGAGAATATGTCCACTAGATTTTAGGCTACTTCTTATGCTCATTTTGAGATTACAGTCTTCAGAATCACAAATTTTGTGAGATGATGTTAGTACATCATAATAAATTTATGTTCTGGAACTGGAAATCAAAAAGATATATCTGGCAATGGGAATAAAATTCAGAAAAAAATCATCAACAATGCTCTTTCTAATACCTTTTTGGACCACAAAGGAGGATGTACAGTTCAATATCATTCCGCATAACCTTTTTGTATCTGGTTGAATGTTCTTTCCAACATTCTGTCACGTCCTCTGCGTCCAATAGCTAAATGAGTTTCATGAAGTATTTGAAATACTCAGTGTTCGTGGCATAATACTGTAAAGTACTGACGCCTTCTTTAACAGAATAAATGAGTGTACCTTTGTTTTTTCACAAACCTCACATCATAGCGATTCATCAAGCAATAGTCCCATAGTCTTCCGGTAAGTAATTTTAGTTAATAACTAACCGTGTTTTGCAGTACTACCTCAAAGATTAGATAGTTCATCTTCGAATCGTCGTTTCAGTATTCACTGTGACTGCTTCTCCAGCACTATTACTTCCTCTACCATTTTCACGTAGCACATTATAAAGCTAATTTTCTGCTGAATAAATTTAAGTAAAATTGTGTATTTTGACAAAGCGGAAAATGCAAATGGCAGATTCTCAACCTGAGTGAAAGAATAAAACATAGGTGTCTTGCTCCATGATATTCGAAACGAATTGGAGATGTATTTCATACTTTGCCTGTGTGTCATCTGGCATTCTATAGAATGTCTAGGCAATGTGTGAAATATTTAATCGTTTCATACATTGGGCCGGCTTTTCGGCATTCTATAAAATACCTAGGTATTCTACAAAATGCTGGATTCCATTCTTTGCTGGTAACATATACACTGCTTACAAAGCCCTTGTTATGCGGTTTTTATTTTCGGAACCGTTGGTAATAAACGCATGCTTCCCACTACAGAAATGTTTCAATTGATGTAAATATTCATACTTTGATAATTTAAAATTTTAAAAATTAATTTCATAAAATGCACAAAATAATACATTTGCCCGGTTCTTATAGTTATATTTAGTAGTTATACTCATTAACAAAAATAAAACACGAACAATTTTGTCACTCTACTATGACAAAATTTTATCAAGATATTTATAGCCTAAGGTCAGCTATTTAAGTCATGTTTAGGGGTTATAGTCAAACTGATGAGCGAAGGCTTATACATAAATAGATGAACGAAATCTTCACATTTTATATAACTGAAAATAAAATGTCAGTTTGTAAAAGTGTCTGGTGTTAATAAATTATGTGACGAGCATTACTGACTACAGAAACTGTTGAAAATATATTGAAATATAATTTTAGTTTCTCATTAGGAAGATGTTATTTCCAGAATCATATAAAATTCGTGTTTTCTCAAACAATGGCAGGTTTCAGCATTGATGCAGAGTCAAAACCAATTTACATACATAGATGTTAATGTGTGTATTATAATTAGCATAAATTTATTATTATACAAAAATAATTATGTATTATTTATGCGTATATATACTTTCTGGGTAAAATAACTATGTCTTAATTGAAAACAGATATTCGAGATAAGCAGGGGATACACACAGCGTTCAAACAAAATGGATTTCCTAAGAACCTTTTATGAGTCTTGAAGAATGAGGATAAAGAAGATAGGTATCAATTTATTTTAGATAGTACTCCATAAAGGTTCTTAAGTTGAATCCTATGTGCTTTATTACAGTAAATTACTTGTCGGATTGTTATAAACAAATAACTGCAGTATCGAATAAAAGAGCTTATCCTTAGAAGGGATATAAGGTGTTTCTTCCGTCTTCGGGGTGTAGTGGTTCTACACGGTAGGCCGGTATTCCAGAGGTCCGTGGTTCGATTCCCGGCGAAGGAGTTTCCTCATTTTTCATCTTGCCTGCTTCAAAAAATACCGAATGTCACTATAATGAATAACACGTTGAGCTATTTTGCTTATTAGAACCTTTGTTTGACAGATAGTATTTAGTCTGTCTATCTTTTTTGATAAAATATTCACTTTGTTGGCATTTATCTTAAGATTTAAAGGGGCTCATACACCTTAAACTCCTACGAATATGTGACTGTTGCAAGAACTGGGATATTTTATTTATTTTAAAAGCAATTACTTCCACCTTTCTACAGCTGACTACATAATATAGCTGCTTTGGAACTATTAACCTAAGTAGTGTTGTTCCAACATTTTTGT